GCCCCTAGCGGCCAGCACGGTCCGCGCCGCACGCCGGGCCCTTCAGGCGCGGCTGGCCAGGGTGCTGTTCAAAAATGTATGTGCGCGCCATCCACCACCCTAACTTTAACACCACAGAGTACCTTCACTGGGTTTTGTTTATTTAACATTTGCAGGATTCTTACATTACAGACTGCCTTTTATTCTTTTTTTTTTTAATTTAGCTGTTAATTGGATGTTTTCCAATGTAATTGAATTAGTCTGTCAGGAAAACGGTGAGATTCTGTCATTTGAATTATGCTTTAGTTTGTCAGCTAGAAGACGTTTCACTGATACAAATGGAGCTTTGGTAACAGTATTCTCCAGCACACATCTTTCACACATAATCTATTCATTTCCTTATGATAGATTACCTGTAAAACCAAGAATATTGTAATAGTTTTAACAATCTGACTGGATCCTCTATATTATAACCCTTGCCTGATGTGGGATGCTGGGCACTCAACCCAGCCCTCCCTAAAGGCAGAACATGCTCTTCACCAGTGAGCTATCTCTCTGCCCTCAGCATTATAATTTTCAGCAGCATTTTGCATGATGTACCACTTGTAGTTAATGAAAAGAATGTAGTTTGGCTTTAGGTGGCCATTCTCCAAAAGGTGTACTGGGAAGAAAAATATGTGCATACAGCAAGTCTGAAACATTACATGCACTTTGCATTTTAACAAGCTTGCATGGTACATTGCTCCAATAGAGTTGCTGTTAGGTGAAGAAAACACACACCAAGATAAGGAGTTATACAAAATCTAAAACCAAAGGACTCAAACAAATTTAAAAACTGTACATTTCCATTGTGTTCCAGATAAACAAAAAGAGCTTTCCTGGCTCTGCACAGTAGCAAGACTTACAGTCGGCAAGGAGGGGGAGAAAGCATTGGCAGGCATTTTTAGAAATTCCAAGAAATTCTGATTATAGCAATTCTACTGACAGGAAGGTGCCGCCAAGTTAGAACCTGTCAGCTGAGAGGCAAGGGGAGGTCTGTGAACATCTCACTATAAATTTATTTGTTGGATATTCAGCTGCCATTTTTTAACAGATTAAGGCTGTGAAGAAGGACCCCAAACCTAGCAGGTTTTTGATGAAGGTGTCTTCAGCACACATAGAAGGCGTTCCTTGAAGATATGCTGCAGGGTGGGGTGGGGGACGCTGTGGGAAAGGCAAATGAGCCTGTTCCACTTGCTCCCCCCCCCCCAGATCTGTAACAGTGACCTGGTATATAGGATGTGTACAACAAACATGACTTATTTCCCAACTCAGTGCAACAAAGCAGCCATTTACCATTGCTGCAGAGACTAGCAATGGTGGGAAACAGGTCTGCTCACCTGGATGAAGCCTGTTACATTTTGCCTGGGCTTTCTCACGTGTCATCATTTCTCAAAAGGCTAGCCCTGACCTCTCCAGACATGGCAGGACTCTGAGGTGGTATAATACTAGCCTCCAACTGCTACAATGCCAGATCTGTTGCCTAATATTGTTCAAAGCAAGTCACAAGCCAGCCCAGATTCAAAGGTGGAGGAAAGAGTTCCCTCCATCTGCTAAGGAAGTACAGAGTCACATTCTAGAGAGGTATGGATAACAGAGAAGACCATGGCACTGCTCAGAGCAGTGGAGCAGAAATCCTTCCTGCTCGGCTAGGATTGTGAAAATGATAGTTATCTATCCATTTGCCTTGATTGCTGGCATCACTATCTGTGTGTTTCTATTTCTAGATATTGTAAATAATTGTTTTAAGTTACTATCAATGCTTTGTGCAATAATATAGGTATAACTAATATAAGTGGATGGTTGTAGAATATGAGAAGGGGAGAACAAGGAGTAGGAATAGCTTGGTTCCCCTCCCCCCACGCACAAGGAAAAATAAATGTTCCCAAAGTGAGAGCTTTAGAATGCTTCCTAAGAGTCTTTCCCGTGTAACATCATGTGCCTGAGTCACTCCAGTGCACAATGTGGTTCCTTAGATTTCATATCACAATGACTTTCTTCTGTCCCACACCAGTTCAGGCATAGGAAAGCATAACTTTCTTCTCACCTGAAGCTTCCGGTTGATTTCCAGTGATGACAGGGACTCTTACCATGCCTTGACCTATTCTTTCAAACACAATGCAAGTCTTTGCATTTATAGTTTTAAATTGACACCATTGGCAAAATGCCCAGCAACACTGTGACCTGTGAAGATTCTGTAGAATGATCATTTTCTCATCTGTAAAGCAGCTGTTTCAGAAGGGTGGGGAGGCTCAGAGGTATGCAGTGAAAGCCAGTGTGGGACAGGTCTCCAGGTCGCAGGCTCTAGAGGGTTCCACGGCTCTCTTTCCTAGATCAGGCTATAGGCACAGCTTTCCTGGCACAGGGATGAAACAAACAAGAGCAAACCGATACCAAAGAGCATGACAGTTCCCAGACATCAGGACGTTTCCACCCCTTTGCTGGAAGAAGTCACAAGCCTGAGTCAGAGCACACACAAATGTTCTACTCTCAGTGTACCCAAGACAAGTTATCTTTTGCATATTTGCTATAGTTGTTACAAAGATTCAGCTTCCCAAGTTGAATATTGTATGATAGTATATATTTAGAAGTTTCTTCTAGGTTTCTGTTTTGGTTTTGGAGTGGTTATTTTTTGTTTGATTGTTTTGCTTACATGTTTTATTTTTTAAGACTTGAGAATATGATATAATTACAGCATTTCTCTCTTTCTTCTCTCCAATCCCTCCCATCCCTGCTCCCAGCTTTCCTCTGCTGCCTGTGGTTCTTTCAGTGGGGTTGAGACCTTATGGGCTTTCCCCTGAACAGTTCAGTCGCTGATGTCTTACACAGCAGTACCTACAAAAGAAGAAAGTAATCTCCCTCTGGAAACTGTAACTCTTAGAGATAATAAGACTTGGACACTTCAAAAAACCATGAAAACCTGGAGGGGTGAAGGCAAAATATAGAGAAATTTAATCGGGTAGTTGGACAACAAGAGGGCAGACAGGAAGAAAAGCAGGGACATTTGCAGAAGATCTCAACTAGGAGTCAGCTCTGTGCTGGCTTTGTGAGGGGTGCATGTGTGACAAGAAACTAGACTATATCTACATGGAGAAGGAATAAAGGCTATGGTATACATGCATATATGCGCATCCCTCGGAAATTATTCAGATCCTCTTACCTGAAGTTGCTGTGCAATTAAAGGATTGTTTCAAATTCTATCTACTTGAAGGAACCAATTGCTTCGACAGGTGTACATTTCAAGAAGACTCAGTTGTGCTTCTGTGATACCTATGTAGAGAGTGACATTTGGTAGGAGATGTTTGTTTGTTTGTTTGTTTTCCAGACAGTTTCTTTGTGTAGCCTCGGCTGTTCTGGAACTCACTGTGTAGACCAGGTTGGCCTCAAACCCACAGAGATCAGTTGGCCTCTGCCTCCTGGGATCTGGGATTAAAGTGCGCACCGCCACCACCTGGCTGACCTGGGATTTTAAGATGAGTTAGTTACCCATCAAAGAATTTGAGAACACAGATGTTGGCTCAGGGGACTTTCCAATGAGAACACTACTGGTGAGAAGACTGGGTTTGGGGAAAGAGTTTGCCTTATACAAAGAACAAAAAATGCTGTAGCAAGCAATGAAAAGGGCGGCAGAAGTTGAGATTAGAGAAAGTGATAGGGGAACATGGCTTTATATAACATATTAAGAAATTTGAATCGTCTTAAGAGCAAGCAAGGAAAGGTATTATGAAATTTTTAGACTGGCATGACATGATCAGTTTTGCAAATAGATAAAAAAAATCATCAGAAGGAGCGCATGGAGAATGAATTAAATGGGAGCAACGAGCCGAAGCAAGGCAGTCATTGGGACGCCACCACAGGCATGGGCGAGAAGATGCCGTGGTGGCAGAGGGAGAGAGAAGCAAACCCAGGAAACAGGAGCAAGATCCGCTGAGGCTTGAGGACCGAGTGTAGGCCCCAGGGAGAAGGCTCAGTAAGGACAACTCTGTGACTCGGCATCATTTCCAGTCTAAGAACAGAAAGAGGAGAGCGCTGTTGTCTTGCGTTCGGAGTCTAATTGGTTTGCAGTCAGTAGATAACCAAGCACAGCAGGAAAGCTGTGGGTCGATATACATCTGCGTGTGGAAGCTACAGGGGAGGCAGGTAGAAGGGGCACGATGGCACAGGGTAGATATGGTCCCTGTACATTGATTTGGTTTTGGTTTGGTTTGGTTGTAACGGTAGGTATGGTCCTGACACAACGTTATAGGTGGTTTGGCAATGGGGGGGGGGGGGGGGGACAAAAAAGGGGGGGGGGGGGGGGGGGGGGGGGGGGGGGGGGCACAAAGAAGTCCGGACAGGAAGCAGCAAGGAGGTCCTGTTATCATGACTAAGCAGGACAAGCATTCCAGAAATGGACGAGTCAACTGTGTCTAAAGCTTTGTTTTTCTTAAACTTCTTCGAATTACTCATTTTAATTGATGTGACTGTTGTGCTTGTATGTGCACTTCGTGCACGCTTGGTGCCTGTGGAGGTCAGAAGAGGGCACCAGATCCCCTGGCACTGAAGTCACTGCAAATCCAACCCCTGTCCTCTGCACGATCAAGTTCTGTTAACTGCTCAGTTAAGATTAAGTACGCTGTGCTCAGTGTTTTTAAACAGGTCAATTAAGCTGACGCCCTCTGACTTTAGTACCACGAAGGTTAAGCGCTGCCCCCCAGTTCTGAGCTCTCGGTGATGGGGCTGGTTAATGCAGGCTCCCAAGACCGAGCCTCTGCGAGCTCACAGCTTCCTTTCGTTGTTCTCCAAACCTGTAAACAGCACCCCCGGGCCGCGGGCCGCACGGCGCAGCGGAGCCCCAGCTCTCACGCGGAAGAGGGGGAGCGCGCCAGGAAGGCCGAGCGCGGGCACGGCGGCTCCGGGGGGAGGCGGCGCGCCGGCGGAACAGCCGGCCGGGCCCGCCGCTGATTGGCGGAGGCGGAAGGGGCGGGGCGCCCTGCGCCTTTTCTCCTGCTCGGCGCTTTCGTTTCTCCAGCGCGGAGTCGGTCGAGGCGCCCGGGGGACTTCGCGGACCGCGCCCCTCAGACCGCCTTGGGACGCAGCGGAGCCGCGCAGGGAGCGCTGCCCGGACGTCGGCGCCTGCGTGCAGCGAGTGAGCGCCGGTGCGGGTGCGGGTGCGGGTGGGAGTGGGCCCCCCGCTCGGGTCTGGGGGCTGCTGCCCGCAGGTGACCTGCCGTCCCGCAGAGAGGATCCGTGCGTGACCTCCTGCCCAGGTCACGGCGGTGCTTGACGCTCCTACCCCCGGCGTTGTCACTGCAAGGGTGACTTGTGCAATAGAAAGTTCTACCCGGAAGGCGGTGCATCTTCCCGCTTAACCCTTGCTCTCCTCATCCGCTGGCCCCTGTCAACCACTGTAACTGTTTCTTCTTTTTACAGTCTTGTCATCCCCCTGAGCCTCCTCCGCCTCGCCGCGCGTGCAGCTGGCACCTAACTTGCTGACTGTGGTGGCAGCTTGTGTTGAACCCCGGCCTGTGCCCGGAGATAGCCCAGTAAGTGTTCGAGGAAACCGAATGCATTTGGAATCTCAGTTATGTATCAGCCCTTCCTGGTTTCCTGGAACTTACTTAGTTGCGGCAGAACCACTAGTGGAATAATGATTATTTAAAAGGAATTCCAGAACCCTACCTAAGAATTCTGGGGTAGGTGTACAGATGGATGAAAGTTGTTTTTATCTGGCAGAAAAGACTTGAGTCCTGATTGCTCAGTGAGAGTGCTGGGCTCAAACTTGTTGCATCGTCATGGGTTCCATTCAGTTGAACAAACTGTTCCGTGCTCAGTAACACTTGGTTTAGACCCAATGCCTGGCATTATTCAGGGTCCACAGCACGTTCATAGCAAAACGTATCCCCTCTGAGCCTCTGATGCTTACAAAGCACCCTGGGAGACAGCCACAAGCCTCACAGGGAAGGTCAGCACTGACCTCCAGTAGCTGTGCAAAGTGCAGCAGGGCACATGCTGAAGGCAGCTAGAGGTGGGTGTGACAGACAGCATTAGGAAGAAGAGACATCTCTATAGAACTGATGGTTGGAAGCAGTGTGGTCCAGTTTGAGGCCCGGCCTAGACTGAGGAGGACAGGATGTTTGATGGAGGCACGGAGACCAGAAAGGAATCAACCCCAAACTCAGTTTGAGCCAGGTTGCGCGGATGGCCTTGCCAGTCTCAGGTTTTAGAGACTGAGCTTGGTTCTGCGTTTGTTGGGTGAATCTGTTAATGCTGTAGCACACGCAGCCGTGTACCGAGAAGTCAGAGGAAGTTGAGCCCCTGGCTCATGGCTTACATGGGTGCCATGGCCTGAGGGAACATCACATTTGCTTTAGGTGTGTCTCTAATGGGGAGGAGAGAGCCACAGACTTGCACATTACAGCAAATAAACCAGATGTAAAAAGTCAAATTGCTACACAGACATCCCACAGTGGTAGACTGGAATCTTTTAAAATGGTGTTTGAAGTGGTAGCTAGCTTTGTAGCCGTCTCTTGGAGGGACATTTGTGCAGCAGACATGGCTTCGTTCCTGCACACGAGTGTCTGAAAGCAGGTATATCCATACACTCCCATATGCTACCTGAAAATAGACACTCTTCCCCAGACGCCTGGCAGGAATACTGCTCTGAATGTGCTGTTGTGCACAGGTCCTGCTACGTGATCGTCACAAGAAACTGGTTTCCAATACATCTTAAGACTTCCTTCAGTTAGGAATTGCTGTAATCTTAACCTTTAGGATTACAATATAAAAACTGACTTCACGGGTATCTGAACTTATGGATGAGTGTTACTTTATTCTTTCAAATGGCATTTGGCAATGCTGAATATTTCTTTTTCTGAGCCAGTGACTCACCATGTAACCTTGTAGGCTAGGCTTGTGCTCAGTATGCAGCTCAGGCTAGCCTTGAACTCACGACCTTCTTCCCTCAGCTTTCCCATGTGATGTGATTTCAGATGCACTCAAACAGGCCTGGCTGTTTGTTTTTATTTCTTTAAAAAAAAAAAAAAGAAACAACATTATTGGGGGCTTGCAGAGAAGGCTTGCTGCTCATAGTTCTTGCTGTGCAAGCGTGAGGACCCAAGTTTTGGATCACCAACACCGGCATTAAAAAAAAAAATAGCAAGGTGTAGTGACATGCATGTGTGACTTCAGTGTCAGGGACCCAGGACTTCCTGGTGAGCTAGTCTGACCAAAGCAGGTAGAATTCCTGTCTCAGAAAAAATGAACGAGGGAAAGGATTGAGGCTGATAGCCTGATATCAACTTTGACCTCTACATGCACGTGTCGGCACATATACAAAAACAAAAACAAAAACAAAAAAAACCCTCAACAACAAATCATTTCTGAGATTTAAGACTTCTTCTTTATGCCAGATCTGTTGTTTGTTGTAGGCGCCAGAGAAAATTTATTTCTTTTAAAATGTGTTTAAGAAAAATATTTTACCTTACAAATCATAAATATAAAATGTCAACTTAAACAGGAGAGATGGTTTGGTGGTAAAAGGTCTTGCTGCCAAGCCAGAGGACTTGAGGTTTCCAAGACTTACACGGGAAGGCGGAAAGGCGAGAGCCAGCGCCTGTAGGTTGTCCTTGGACCTCCGCTCATGTGTGTATACACACAGAATAAATAAAGTGTAATAACCATAAAATGTCACTTTTAAAATGTATAGTAGTTTGTAGAAAAGGTTTTTGGAAGTGCTTGTGAATTATCTTAATTCCAATTATGTTTTCTACTTGTTTGATAAAAAGTATAAATTCACTTTTAAGTAATATTTATTGGATTCTTAATTTGTACCCGACATTGTTCCCTCTCTTTTCTTCAGAGAAAATAAATATAATAAATTACAAGAGATATAATAAATTACAAAATATGTGATGAGTCTGGTGATAAATGCTGTGAAGAAAAATATATCAAGGGAAAAGGTAGTGTTTTCCACCGCAGAGATGGTTACCATTGAAATAGGATAGCCAGAGTACACTGCCCTGACATTTGAGTAAAGACCGGAGGACATGTTTTCTGCAGAAGAAAAAAACATGATTACAAAACTCAATAAACAAATATTGGGTATGGATACCATTCAGGCAAATTTTTCAGAGACCAACAGGATAGAGCAGCAGTTCTGAGGGTCGTGACCCCTTTGGCAAACGTCTATCTTCAAAAATATTTACATCTTGATTCATAACAGTTAAAAAATTACAGATATGATGTAGCAACAAAAATAGTGTAATGGTTGAGGTCACTACAGCATGAGGAACTGTATTAAAGGGTCGCAGCATGAGGAAGGCTGAGAAGTACTGAGCCAGAGGCTTTGCCTGTAGCTGTAGGTGTCCGTTCACATGTGTTTTCTTTCTGCAGGGGATGTCTCAGTGGTACGAGCTTCAGCAGCTGGACTCCAAGTTCCTGGAGCAAGTCCACCAGCTGTATGATGACAGCTTTCCCATGGAGATCAGACAGTACCTGGCCCAGTGGCTAGAGAAGCAAGACTGGTAAGCAGAGCACATTGGTTAGTCATGTGGAGCTGTTTACAAAAGTGTGAATCTCACAAGTGGCCACAGAACCAGTTTCATTAGTCATTAAGAACTTTCTATTCTATCTTTAAGCATATTGTTTGCTACTGGCCAAAATTTTAAGCATTCTCAACGGATTTGACATAGGAAACTCAAGCCTCTGCTAATTTTTTTTCTTTCTGGAGATAAATACCATGAATACTTTCTTGTGTATAATCTCTGATGCTTTTTATAGTTTTTCATGCTGGTTGTGTGTGATAGAAATACTACACAAATTGCCAGTAAAACAATGTCAACTTAAAAAGAAAAATAAACCTAAGTCACATGTAATCATCTGGTAATGTCAGTGAGGAAAGCAATGTTTCTTTTGTGTGTCGTAAGTTGTCTATAGAATGAGATGTAAAATCCTGGTCTCCTAGGGAGCACGCAGCCTGTGACGTCTCATTTGCCACCATTCGCTTCCATGACCTCCTCTCTCAGCTGGATGATCAGTACAGCCGCTTTTCCCTGGAGAATAATTTTTTGTTGCAGCACAACATAAGGAAGAGCAAGCGTAATCTTCAGGTACGGACTGGCGTGTGTTTCACTTGAAACGTCTCGATGCCTACACAAAATCTTTTCTTATTTTTATTTGGCAACTGCTACTGAGTACACACTCATTGGCATTCAGAGAAGTTTCATAAACACAAATAAGCTTTATTTATGTATTACAGTGTTCTGCCTGCATGTGTGCTTACATACCAGAAGAGGGTACCAGATCTCACTATACATGGTTATGAGCCACGTGAGGTTGCTGGGAATTGAACTCAGGACCTTTGGAAGAACAGCCATCTCTCCAGCCCCCAAATAAATCCTTTATGTGGCTAAGATTTATAAAGCATTAAATAAATCAATATCAACGCATTTTATAAATAAAGAAGAGTTTTCAGGTTTAAGTATAATGCTGTAAAAACTTTGTTTTGCTAAAAATCGTTAACATTTAGACCAAAGAAAGGGGGCTTAATTTTTAGGGTGGTGAGCTATGGTAACACGTTAAACTTTAAGATATTCTATGATCAATTAGGTCCTAGGCCTTTGTGGGTCCAGGTGAGGTATTTTCAGGAAAGTTTGGATCATCCAAGGCTTAGTCGTAAGTGTGTGAGGAACTTGGACTAGACTTACTTAGCCTTTCTTCTGGCAGACTTGTCTTCCACTGGAAGAGAAAGCAAAAGAAAGATCTAGAATTCAGAATCTTCACATGATCTCTCAGCACACCTTCAGCCTGGCTGTCCTATTTATTCTCTATTACAAAACTTTCTTGTTTTAATAGAAATGAAAGGTTTTATGCAACACAACCAAACATTTCAGCCTAGGAAATTGGAAGCCTTTTATTTTGTGTTCTTTTTGAACATTCTATTACTTTAAATCAGTGAGAAGGAAAAATCAGATTAAGTTTATAAAACTTTGCTCTTATTCGGGCTGCTTGGTGGTAACTTGTTATCAAGAATATGATTGCCAGTACTTTGCAAAACAACATTCAGAGGAAACAGAAACACTGAGATGAATATCTTTGTTCTGGATTAAAGTATAGTTGTACTTCAGTTCCTGTGTTGAGGAATTCGTTGAGGACTATCATGAATAGTTCTTACATCATTTACATTGCATTGTTGCATCCTAACAGAAGATAATCATCTTCAAGATATTCAGGAAAGGGAGAACTAAAGCAGTTATGCACAGGTGTGGGTATGACTTAGTGGTCAGAATGCATGCTTAGCCTACCTAAAGCTCTGGATTTTACACTTAATGGTATCCTCCAACCCTTGTGATCCACACGTGAAAATATTTTCTTTTTAAATCAAATTGCTCAAATTTTGTAAGTTAAAGTAATTTTGGTCCTGATTTATGAAAGGAGTATTTTGTAGTAAATAATTTGTCTCAGGGCATGATGTTGCATGCCTGTAATCCCAGTACTCAGGAGGCAGAGGAAGGCAAATCTCTGTTAGTTCCAGGATGGTTAGAACTACATCTCAAAAACTAACAAACAAAAAACAACCAGACCACTACAACAAATACCTTATGTCAAGGTTAGTCAACAAAAAATAAGCTTTCTCAGGGAAAAGAAAAGATTTTCTTAAACCAGGATTTTGCAGACTTTCTACTCATAATCTCTTTTTACCCAAGAAGTTTTTCCACAACTTTAGGCATATAGGTATATAAAATAGTTTATATATTTATATAAAATATAAATCAGGCATCTATTGGTAATAAATAAAAAGAAATTTATTTTAAAACAATTCTTTGATATACTTGTAATTCTATAGTTTATTAAAGATGAAATCAGATGTGCACACTAGTTAATGGAGTCTAATATGATAAAATTCAAAGATCTATTAATATGATACTGACAGGCCACTAGGCCACTAGAGAATGTGGCTCTGTCAGGCCTTGCCCTTCTCCCCCATTCCCTCTGCCTTGCTAAAAACACTTTGATTGCATTCCTAAAGTTGGCCACCAAGGTCCATTCCCTTATTTGGTCACTTCCTCCTCTTGAGGCTGACCACCAAGGTCCAGCTATCAAAACATTGATGTCCAGCAATCAAAAGTCCCTTTTGGGGAGGCTGGAGAGGTGGCTCAGTGGTTAAGAGCACCAGCTGCACTTCCAGAAGACCAGAGTTCAATTCCCAGCACCCCATGGCATCTCACAACTATCTGATCCATCACTATCACACACACATACATGCAAGCAAAACAACAGAAATGCACAGAAAATAAAAATAAATTCGTTTTTTAAAAAAAGCCTCCTTTGGCTAATCTAATTAACATGCCCAATTAAAATTAAACACCTCATCCTAACACGGGTTTCCTCCTTTATGTTTGTAAACTGCCATTTGCCTATGGGCCATGTGTGTGGCCTCTTTATGCAGAGGCAATCCTTTTTCATTCTCTGAAACAAATTCACCTACCCCCATCTCCCTTGTTTCCTCTCCCTTCTCCCTCATCCTTTATCTCCTGTCTGTGTCTCTTATCCCCTGCCCTTTGTTCTTGTGTGGCAAATACATCTTCTCCTTGTCAGGAACTTAGTCTTGGGGTCCTGAGCCAGTACTGATCTCTACAGAATCAGGTTTAAAGTGACAGGAGGAAATATCAGAGGCTGTTTCCCGCAAGTAAGCCATTATGTTACTATGAGGGCAGAGACTTTGCATGTGGACTCAAACCCTGCAGTCACCCACACACAGAGCTCTGCTCCAGGCCCCTGTGTCATTGCGCTGTCCAGACAAAGGTGCTGTGCGTGGTCCCCATGGTTGAGCACTCATAACCGAGGCTGCAGTGGAGTCGAGTGACACAGCACACCCAGAAATCCACCTCAGACTCCTTGTGGTTGTAGTTGACTTTTCATTTACTTGTAGTTCTGCACATTCGGAAACCTTTCACTGTTGGCAGAATTTTGGTGATCCTCATATTCTATTCATTATGAATTCCAATATTCTAATTCAATTATTCTGAAATTTATTTTTTATCCTACACACCTGTGTCTAGGATAACTTCCAAGAAGATCCTGTACAGATGTCCATGATAATCTGTAACTGTCTGAAGGAAGAGAGGAAGATTTTGGAAAATGCACAAAGATTTAATCAGGTACTTCATTCTAAGTGAACACTAACAGAGTAGAAATGTGTTGCTTATTTCACAGGTGCTACGGAGAGTCTCTCTTAAACACCGATGAATTCAACTCTGATCTTACAGCCTCAGGAAACAGAAGTTTTCTGGAACACTTTAAGAAAGGTTGTTTTCTAATGGAGTTAATTCCTAGTGAGGTGCTTGCAGATGGTGCTGCAAGTGCTGAGGAGGCCATGAGAAGACTGGGCAGTGCCTGTTTTTTTAGGTCAGGGTCAGGGGGCTTCTCTCACAGGAGTGGAAGCGTGCAAAGCTTTGAGTTCTGGTAGCCTTGCAAACGAGGGGCCATGGCAGGTATACTCAATATGGAGGTAGGGAAAACACACAGATTCAAGCTATGTTTTGGGACCGAATAAACGAGGAGGATGCTACAGTTGTGACTGGAGTCATTTGGAGAATGATAATGCTGTCTTCTGGGAAAGAAGTCAGAGAAAGGCAGGAACAGGATGTTTACCGGACGCAGCAGACACGGGAGGATTAAAAAAATTAATAGGAAAATAAAAGCTTCATTTTGCACAGGATTAAGACACTCGTTGTATGTTCAGGACATCAAACAGTAGATGAGTCAGGGTTGTAGTATAATGTTTGGGGTCATGATTTTGCTAGTCACCATGTAGGCCTTCCTGGAAACTGGGTTCAGCAAAGTGTTTGCAGTTGAAGGGACATTTTTTTTACTCCTTTCTTGAGACGTTAGTGGTGAGAGCAACAAGGTGGGCAGGTGGCTTTGAAGCCATTGCGATGTGAGTTCTTCTAGCCCAACCACTCGAGCATTGGGAGGAGACCGTAAAGGACACAACACAACCTCTGCCTTGGGCATTTCTCTACAGATAATGATGTACACTGTGTCACAATGGGGAAAGATAGAGAACAAACGTAATGCTGGCAAAGGCCTTTCTCCCTGCCTTCATGAGCTTTTGCGCCATCCCACGTGCATGGTGAAAATTTTGGCTGTGTTGTGTGGATATGTTTTTGTTGTAGTCCCAAGTGTGGGATGTGGAAATACTTTGTCCATACCTGATAGCAGCCTCCTGAGAGGGCAAGTGATCCTTGGCAACTGGAAAGTGCCTTGTGCAGGGTGCATGGGTTTTGCAGCTGGAAAACATCCTGGTGTGAACTCTGAGAAGGTATAAATAGGAGCCCACAGAGAGTGCTTTGCTTTGCATGACTTCACTTTACTTCTATAGAGAAAAGCTCCCAAGAACTTTTGGTGCCACTTCTGTTGAATGGCGCTGTTTGCCTGCCCCAGGTGCATCAGAGGGCTGCTGTGGATGCTGTTTCCTGCCCCAGACACAGCAGAAGGCTGCTGCTGCTGCTGCTGCTGCTGCTGCTGCTGTTGCTGCTGTTTCCTGCCCCAGGCACAGCAGAGGGCTGCTGCTGCTG